GCCTGGAGGGCGGCGGGCCCGGGCCCCGGCCACGAGGATTGCAATGGCAAAATGCCCAGCATCGCCAAGGACGTCTTCACCAAGATGGACGACTGCCGGGACCGTGGGGAGGACGAGGAGGAGATCGACTACGTGAGTCGGGTCGGCTTTTCCGCAGAGGGTGGCGGAGGGAGCAGGGCGTGGCCCAACGGGCGTGGAGGCGGGCGGAGCTTGGGGTGTGGCCTTTGATGGGCGTGGTCTGGGCCTTGGAGCTCTGGTGAGCTTGATAGGAGGAGTTGGCTCTGCTCTTGGGAAATAAGCCCCCGGCCTCGAATGGGGCGAGGGTTGTGGGGGGGGTCATCCAGTGCCCTCAACTTGCTAACCCTCCCGCGGCGTTCTCCAGACCCTGTGCTTCCGCGTCCGAAAGATGATGGATGTCTACAAGCCCGACTGGTGTGAGGTCCGCGAGGACTGGTCCGTCTACCTCTTCTCTCCTGAGAACAGGTGAGCACAGCCGGGCATATAGTGTGGGTGAGCATAGGGAGAGGGTGCTCTCTCTCAAGCCAGGAAGGGCATTAGTGGTACACTCACACACCCTGGGGTGCAGGATGGATCTGCGGGGAGGATGAGTGTCCAGATGTCTGGACAGGACTTTCCTGGGCTTCTCCAGTGCTCTTGGCCAGTCCTGTGCTGGGCACCAGGTAGGACAGATCCTCTAGCAGCCTGGCGTGCTTACACATTGCATGTGGGGAATCAGAAGGCTTCCTGGAGGAGGAGAGGTCCAGGTGGAGGAGGCAGCTGGAGGGGATGTGTAGGGCAGGAGCAGAGGATATCCGACAATGGGCCCTTGGTACTGAGGGCAGGGGCCGTGTTTGGAAAGCCTTGAATGCCGGGGCAAGGTGGATGCCTGTCACCCTATTGGGGTGTGGTTGGGGAGGAAGCTGGAGGTGGGCATCCTGAGCAGGTGGGAAGCTGGCACCTGTTGGAGGAGGAGAGGGCAGTCGCTTCCTTAGGCTACCCTGGTCCTCCTGTGTGCAGGGTGGGAGGCACTCTGACACTCCGGTCCCTTGCCCAGGTTCCGGGTCCTATGTCAGACTGTCATTGCCCACAAGCTCTTTGACTATGTGGTCCTGGCCTTCATCTTCCTGAACTGTATCACCATTGCCCTGGAGCGGCCCCAGATCGAGGCGGGCAGCACGGTGAGTGGCTGGGACCCGGAGTCGGGCAATGGGCCAGGCAGAGGGAGCTGTGGCAGGGAGGAGAAGGTCGTCTGAGGCTCAAACATGGGGCCTCTCCTGGCTGCCCTTGGGCTGACTCCGAACCTGAGCTGTGGGCTTCCTGGGACCCATGGCATCTCCCATCTCTTTCAGGAACGCATCTTCCTTACTGTGTCCAACTACATCTTCACAGCCATCTTCGTGGGCGAGATGACACTGAAGGTCTTTCTGAGCTTCTCCTGGACCACTTACCCCTAGCTCAGCCCTCCTGCCCTTGTCACTGGCCTGCCCATCAGCAGCATTCTAAAGGGCCCGAAGGTCCACCACATTGGGTGCCAGCCCCTGGGTTGGGCTTCTGGGATGTAGAGGAGGTCTGTGGCGTACCCCCTCTCCTGGAAGACAGATGCAGTGGGGAGCACTGACAGTGTAATGGTGGTACCTGTTAGAGGTATGGGGTGCAGGGAAAGATTCCAGCTCGGAGCTTCCCAGCGCCTTAGCTTTGGCTTGGGTTTGCTAGATGTGCTAATGGGATGGACACCTTGGCCCTGACTCCACCCAGGCTCCGCCTACCACCCACCCTCCGCCTACCACCCACCCTCAAGGAAACGCCCTTGAGCTGGCCCCGCCCTCTTCCCTGCCCCTTCCCGCTGACGGGCCCCGCCCCCAGGTGGTGTCCCTGGGCCTGTACTTCGGGGAGCAGGCGTATCTGCGCAGCAGCTGGAACGTGCTGGACGGCTTCCTCGTCTTCGTATCCATCATCGACATCGTTGTATCCGTGGCCTCTGCTGGGGGAGCCAAGATCCTGGGAGTCCTCCGGGTTCTGCGGCTTCTGCGTACCCTGCGCCCCCTTCGGTGAGGGGCTGGAGTTCTGCGTCGTGCAGGAAATCACTGGGGTCCAAGTGGGCCCCTTGCTCCAATTTGGGGCACATTCAGACCTCCAGTAGCACCTGTCAAACAACCTAGTACCCGCTCTTGGCAGACCAGGGCGTGGGGTGAAGGGTACTGATAGGGCAGGCGTGAAGGCTGTCCCAGTACTGTTCCCCACCTCTGGGGGGCTCTCTACTCTGCGACCAGGGCGTCCAGTGGACCTCAGGGGACTGGGCACAGTGAGAGGGAGGGCAAGTGCCCTCTTGTATTTTAGTCTGTGCCAGCTGGCCTGTTTTGCCGAGCCTGGGTTGCCCAGCCACTTTCTGTCATTCCTTGCTGCTGTCCTCATGCCCTTGGGGGCTCAGCCCTGGCCCCGCATGAACTGACAGTGTCCCCTGGGTCCTCCTTGTTCACAGTGTCATCAGCCGGGCCCCTGGGCTGAAGCTGGTGGTGGAGACACTCATCTCGTCCCTCAAGCCCATTGGCAACATTGTGCTCATCTGCTGTGCCTTCTTCATCATCTTCGGCATCCTGGGGGTGCAGGTGAGGGACGCCCAGCTGTGCAGGGGCAGGGTGAGGGGAAGCCTAGCACAGCCAGGGCAGAGGCTGCACGCTTCTCCCCACCCCAGCCTCTTACTGGGGCCTGGCCCGGCAGCTGTGGTTCTTGGCAGGGAGGCCGAGACAGATCCCAACCCCGATGAACAAGCCCAAGGGAGGCTGGGTCCATGTGATCGGAGCGGCGGCTTCTTCTGCATCGTGCCCAGCCCCCTGGAGTACTAACCTCGCCTTCTCCCCTCAGCTCTTCAAGGGCAAATTCTACCACTGTCTGGGTGTGGACACTCGTAACATCACCAACCGCTCTGACTGCGTGGCCGCCAACTACCGCTGGGTCCACCACAAATACAACTTCGATAACCTGGGCCAGGTGAGCCCTGCCCACCTACCTCTTATCTGACCTGCTCCTTAGGGGTGACAGCTCTTCAGTGCTGATGGCCCTGGGCTCACAAACCAAGCTGCTTTCCGAGTTTTAGTTTCCTTTTCTACAAAATGGGTAAGGGGAACACTCCCTTCTCTGAGCTCCTGCATGCAGAGAGGCTGGCCAGTGCCCAGCACTTGCTAGAGCTCCACTGGACGTTGGTCCTGGCCTTTACTTGCCACCCAGGGCTCTCTGACAGTTTAGTCAGCAGCTTTTACTGTCGGTGTGACCTCTTTGAGCCTGTTTCGTCATCTGTGAAATGGGAAATGGGAACCATCTGTGGCCCAGCTTGGGTTCTCTTTCTCACCTTCTCTGTTTTCCACTCCAGTTGGCAGGCAGGCCCCTGCCTGGTTCCCACAGTGCTCTTGGTGCCCCTCCTGGGGACCTGACAGGCTTGACCCATTTGGGGAGAGCCCAGGTGAGAACTCTGGGCTCTCACTTCAGTGCCTCCTAAGAATCTGCCCCAACTGCACCCCTTTCCTGAGAGCCCACCAGGCAGCCTTGTCCCCGGGCGTGATTGTAACACTCTTTGTCCCTCCATCCCCTGGAAGCAGAAGAATGGAGAGCTGAGGAGGTACAGACGCAGCCGGAGCCACCCAAGCCCCTCACCCCTGTACCCTTCATGTCTTCCAGGCTCTGATGTCCCTCTTTGTCCTGGCCTCCAAGGATGGCTGGGTGAACATCATGTACAACGGGCTGGACGCTGTGGCTGTGGACCAGCAGGTGGGCGTGGCTGGGGCCAGGCCAGGTCTGGACTGTGGGAGGAACATACTGTGTTTGGGCCCAGTGGTCTGAAGTCAGCCCCTGTGAGGCCTGCTCACGGTGTCTCCCCGCCGGCACCCACACCCACCCTTCGTATCCTGGCCTGAACCTCCCTGGGCAGAGCCATCCTTTGGGTGCTTCAGACTCCTGCTGTGCAGGGAGTACGAGCCCAGCCGGCTCCTGCCTGGTGGAGAAATGAGAGGAAGAAGGCAGACGTGTTTGAAGGGCAGAAGTCGGAGCAGGGAAGGAAAGGGGTTCGGGTTCTCTCTGCTGAGAGCCTGGAGGCTCAGGACCAAGGGCAGGAGAAGGGCTGAGCAGGCCGGAGGCGAGGGTAGAAGGAAAGGTGAGGAGGCAGGGGTGGGTGGTCCACAGGACCCCGGGTGCCGTGGCTAGGGTGCCAGCCTGGGGAGGAATTGTATTTGAGGGCAGAGGGAGCCAGTAAAAGGGTTACAGCAAGAGTGGGGCCCCTGCTGGCCAGGTTGCTTGTGGGTGCCTGCGAGGTGGGTGATGCTGTGTGATGTTGCTTTGGGAAGTGTTCTGGGTGCAGTGGGTCAGGGAGGACATCAAGTGCCTGAGTGAAGGCCTGAGCCTCAGCTCCCAAGATCCCAGTGGGGAGCAGGGGGCTCCTCTGGGACTAGGCAAGCGTTTGGCAGGACACAGCTGACCAGGGATGGCTGTGTCCTGAGGACCAGGCTGAGGTGGTCAGGAGAAGAGCAGGGAGCGTCTCTGGGGCAGGGCAGAGCCCACACTGGAGGAGTTGGGGTGGCAGGAACCCCAGGGCTCAGAGTGGCCTTGGCCATTTGACTTTCTGAGACCCAGTTGGTTAGACGCTGGAGGTGGAGGGGGCCGTAGGGATGGTGAGGGGATGAGAGCATTTGGAGGCACCTTGCTGCACTCTCCTGTCTGTTCTGTCCCTACCCCCAGCGGTGTATGCGCGCACAGACCCTACCAGGCACGGCTCACGCCTCTCCTGACTGCCTTGTTTCTGGACGGATGAGTGAGCTGGTGGAAGGAAGGAAGGAAGCATGGGGGAGTTGAGTGGTTTTTTTTTTGGACGGGATGCTTGTGAGAGGAAGAAGGCAGATGTGCTTAGGAGGTGACAGTTGGAGCAGGGAAGGAAGGGGGCTCTCTTTGCTGAGCACTTGTGCAGGTCCAGGGTAGGCACTTCCCACCCGCCTCACTCAAAGCTCTCAGTTCCCGAGAGGCAGGCGCCGCTGGTCCCAGCACTCCGGGCTTGGCGGGTCAGGTGCCCGCTCTGGTGCCCGGTCAGCCTCCTCAGGCCTGGATCTGGCTCCCTGCAGCCCGTGACCAACCACAACCCCTGGATGCTGCTGTACTTCATCTCCTTCCTGCTCATCGTCAGCTTCTTCGTGCTCAACATGTTCGTGGGCGTCGTGGTTGAGAACTTCCACAAGTGCCGGCAGCACCAGGAGGCCGAGGAGGCGCGGAGACGGGAGGAGAAGCGGCTGCGGCGCCTGGAGAAGAAGCGCCGTAGTGAGTGGGCAGCTCGGGGTGGGGGCCGCGCTGACCCCAGGGCCTCTGGAGCCGAGAGGGACGGGAACAAAGGACACGGTCCCTGTGCCTGTGGTGTGGCCCTTTCTCCTCACCTCTGCCTGCCCAGTACCCCGCAGTGTCTGCTTAGAGTCCTGGGGTGACACCGCTGCCTACTGGAGCGGGGCCCAAGCCGCGGGCAGAGGCAGAGCCTGGAGGGTCATCTGCAGGAATCCCGGTCCTCCCGGTGCCCTCCGTGGGTGGGAGGAGACCTCGCTGACCCGGGGCCAGGTGGACCAGCATGTTCTGCCCTTGCTTCCTTCCTCCACTCTGCCTTTCCCTCTTTCGTGCTGTCCCCTTCCCCTTGGTACCAGTCCTCTGTGATCTGTGCCACTCCCCACACTGTCCCCTTGCAGAAGCCCAGAGGCTGCCCTACTACGCTACCTACTGCCCCACCCGGCTGCTCATCCACTCCATGTGTACCAGCCACTACCTGGACATCTTCATCACCTTCATCATCTGCCTCAATGTGGTCACCATGTCCCTGGAGCACTACAACCAGCCCACGGTGAGCCCAGGTTGCTTCTGAGCCCAAGGTCACACCATGAAAATGAGGCCAGGGATAATCAGGGACAGGGTGGAACCTGGGGTGGTGGAATGAAGGGTTTAAGAAAACCCTCTGCACCTGACCCTGTGCTGGGCACTGCAGGGGAGGAGGCTCCGGACAGCCCTGCCCTACTCAGGTCATGTCCTGGACGGGACAGATGCATGACAGGGAAAGGTAACCGGTTCCCAGGGGGTGGACTTTGGGACCAGCCTAGAACGTGGGTCACAATGGCCATGGTGTGGTACATGCTGACTGTTTGTCAGACACACTACATAAATGAACTCTTCAGTCTTCACAGTGACTTCAAAACAGAGAACCCCAGCTAGATTTTGTAGATGAAGAAACTGAGCCCCTGAGAAGTTCAGTTACTCAGCTGTAGGGTATGGAACCAGAACTAAAACTTGGATTTACATTCAAAGCCTACCATGGAGCCAGCACTATGAGCTGACTATATGGAGACTAGAGGAGGCCTTAAGGTGGCAGGGCCACTACAGGCCATCACCAGAGGAGGAGGAAGAGGGGGCCCAGTTCCTAGAATTGCAGACAAAGTGTGTGAGGAGATCCGAAGGACACACGCATTCTAAAGCCTCAGCTCGATGGAGTTGGTAGGAAAGAAGGGGAGAGCAGAACTTTCAGTTGAGGAAAGAGAGAGAATCTTACTTCAAATGATAGAGAAGACTGTTATGAATGGAAGGGAAAGGAAGGGAACCATGGACAGAAAGACACAGTAATTGTAGAACTTCCAAATTAACACACAGACACGGAATAATCATCGCTCACATTTACCAAGTATTCATTCTATGCTAGCACTGAACTATGACCTCATTTAATTTTCACAGAATCTTTTGGAGGTAGATGCTATTATTTTTTAACAATTTTTAGATTAAAAAAGTAAATGCTGGGCCAGGGATTTAGCTCAGTGGTTTTGCCACTTGCGAGTTCGATCCCTGGTACCCCACCCCCCAAAAAAATGAAAGTAAATGCTGAAGGAGGCCAGTCACTTGCCCTAGGGCACCAGTGAGTAAGGAGTAATTGCTAAGCCAGGATTTAAATCTAGGCAGTCTAGTTTGGAATCCTTAACCCCTATCCATTCTGCTTCAAAGTGGAACAACTGGACAAACCAACAGAAATAAAGAAAAGGGGATAATAGTGTAAACTGAATAATACATACTAAGTAAGACTGAAGGAATACAAATAGATAAATCATTGTCTAAATGAGAATGGTCTAGATTTTCCCATCCAGGGGAAGTTTATGGGGGCAGGTCATGGGGCCTGGATTATGCTTCTCTTTGCCCTCTGTAGTCCCTGGAGACGGCCCTCAAGTACTGTAACTACATGTTCACCACTGTCTTTGTGCTGGAGGCTGTGTTGAAGCTGGTGGCCTTTGGCTTGCGGCGCTTTTTCAAGGACCGGTGAGTGGCTGGGCCATTCTAGGGAGCAGGGTGGGAGTCGGTCCTGGAGAGGCCTGGGTTTCTGAGGAAGGGACCCAGTAAGCGTTGATGAGCAGGAGCTCCCAGTTGAACAGGAAGTGATGAGGTCTCAGGCAGCGAGCGGGCACAGGGCATTCCACCAGGCCCTTCTCAGCCCACCTCCATCCCTGCAGGCAGAGCAGTTCTGCTTTATGCTAATTCTCCTTTCAGAAGGAGCAAATGAGGCTGGGAGTAACCATTGCACTTGCCCAAAGCCATGCAGAGGAGGCAGGTGGCTTGAGGTTTAGACTTAAATGACCGCACTGGTCTTCTCTGCTTCATCAGAGTCAGAGCCCTGCTTCTTCCCCTGTGGGGCCCCAGAGGTGTTGATTTAACTGCATCAGCCCTTGCTTGGGAAGCTGTGAGGCGTGGAAAGCGGGCAGGACGCAGGGAAATCTGGAGAGGCTGCAGGGAGGGTGGCCACATTGCCCAGTGGGCCATACCAGAGGCTGAGGAAGGGCGAAGCTGCCTTCGGCGGGATGTGTCCCTGAACCCCACCCTGCCCTCCTCTGCCCGGCTGAGCAGGTGGAACCAGCTGGACTTGGCCATTGTGCTGCTGTCCGTCATGGGCATCACGCTGGAAGAGATCGAGATCAACGCAGCACTGCCCATCAACCCCACCATCATCCGCATCATGCGGGTCCTGCGCATCGCCCGGGGTGAGGGGCAGGGAGCGGTCGGGCAGGTGCAGGATGGGACGTGTGTTCCCTGGGAGGAGCACCCAGGATGGGGCAGGGACTGGCACCGCCTGTGGGTTCACAGCCTCTCCACGTTCCCACCTCCTTTCTTCCTGTTGTGACGTACTTGCCTCCTGGTCACACCACCACGTGGTCTGGTCTCACCCAGTCCTGCCGGATGATGTGCGACAGCTCCAGCTGTGACAGGGACAGGGTGCTCTTGCTTTTTTGCTGCTTCCTGCCTATTACTGCTGCATGCCCAGGGTGGTGCCCAGTAGCATGGTGGGTGACACCGGAGGCCTATTTAGCCAGAGGGAAGGGAAAAGGCCTGATGAACACTCACGCTGGTCATCTGTTTCATCATGGTCAGTGACAGTCACACCCTTACGGCCCTCCACTCCCACGTACAAGTCCTCGTTCTCTGGGATGTTTTTCTGCTGACGTCCACACCTCATGTCACACGTTTTATGCACAGCACCATTCACCCAGTCGCTGCAGCTGTGCTGTTGCAGTGAGGCACCGGAGTGGCCCCTGCGTGCGCGCTCCTCCCTGTCCCCTCTTCTCCCAGTTCACACACCTGCACACAGATCTGCACATGTGCGTGCCCACGGCCTGGGCTGAGCCGGCCGGGCTGGTGTCGCCCACAGTGCTGAAGCTGTTGAAGATGGCCACAGGGATGCGGGCGCTGCTGGACACGGTGGTGCAGGCTCTGCCCCAGGTAAGGGCCGCTCCTCTGCAGGGCCCTGCTCCGGGCCTTGGTGTTGCGCTGGGCTCTGGGAGTGCAGATCGTGACGCCCCTTCTCCCCACACCTGCCCAGGCCCAGGGGCAGTGGTTGGAACCAGGGCCCCTTCCTGCCGCCTGCTTCTAGGCCTGAGTGTGGTCACTCACACTTCCCCTGAACCCTGTCTGCGTGGGTACAGAGAACCTGCATAATGCCCTGGAGGCCCCCAGGGTGGTGGGGGAGCCGATGCCCGCAGTGTGCTCGTGGCAGAGGATGGTACTAGGCACTCGCACTGGAAAGGGGATCTTTGAGCTTGACCTGACAGAAGGAGGCGGTGTCATGTGGTTGGAGAGGTCCTGATGCAGTATCAGGGTGGGCAGTGGGAGACCCTGACCTGGTGGGAACCCTGAGCAGTTGGGGAAGTCACCCGGTCAGTCACGGTGCACCCCATCCCTGTCCCCATTACTTGACGTTCCCCTCCAGCACTTCCAGGGTGGCCTGCACTCCAGCTGGAGCCCTCAGCACACTCACTTCTTCTTTTCAATGCCTCAGGCCTTCAGGAACATTCCTGTCCTAAAACAAAAGGCATGGGCTTGCCACAGTAACTATAAGTGTCAACAGCCCAGGGAGGATGGAAGGGAGGCTGATTCTCTCAGGGACCTGGGCTGAGGATCCCAGTGAGTTCTCTCTTCAAGTTTGGTGTGAGCTTCCTAGCGGCCTGATTACAAAGGGAAAGTGACATGGTTTTGGTCAGATCTGCAGGGAAAGCAAGGATATTCAATCAAAGAGATGTCATTTTCCATGATGCACAGAGAGGTGGTGCTGGGTGTGCAGACAGGAAGTGGTTTGAGACTAGACCTGGAATCGAGGCATCCTGTCAGGTCTTCCTGGACCAGCACCATGCTGGCACGGCCCACACACAATGGCAATTGCAAGGACACTGGCCCTACTAACAAGCGTGTGCCAAAGGGGGTCGGGGCTTGCCCTTTAGAAACTATCAGCTGATGCTCATGCAGTCCGTGGATGCCACAAAGTGTAATGAAAGCAAGTTGAGCTCTCCCTGGGCACAGGGACGGGGCAGTGGAGAGGCCTCCGCAGAGGAGGTGCCCAGTGATTCGGGCTCCAAGGGGTGAGGAGGACACAGCACTGATCAGCCAAAGACAGAGCCTTCCTTGCAGCAGGAATGGACTGTGCAGAGGCCCTGTGGGTAGGAGCTGGGAGACTGGGCTGGAGGGGACCTCGGGGCCAGGTTATGGCAGGACTTCGCTATTGGGGTAGTGAATTTGGGCTTCATCCTGCGGGCACTGGATGCCACAGTAGGGTCTGTGCTAGGGGCCTCAACCAGAGCTGCCTTGGAGAAGGTGGGAGCATGGAGGAGAGGCCAGAGACACGGAGGCCCAGGGCACAGAGGGAGGAGACCGTGGGAAGGCTGAAGGGACCTGGGCAGGAAACGCTGCCCGCTCCTGGCCTGAGCTGGTTCAGAAGCTGAGTTCTGCGGCCATGCGCCACATTCTTCACCTGGCAGGTACTCACGAAGCACTCGTTTCGCTAATGAATGGAGTGAGATTTAATTAGCCCGACATGCAGTGTGCAGGGCAGGGTGGCCCCGAGGAACCATCCTTGGGAGCAGAGAGGCTGTGATTAACGGGTTTACTTTTCAGCGATTAATGTGATCGCTTTCCAATTGCATCCTCGGGGCCTTCTGAGGGGCCTGGGAGGGATTGCATTTCCAGGGCGGGAGTGCGGTCGCACTCACCTTATCCCCAGTACAGAGTGTAGGGAGCAGCATGGATTCTGTGGCAGCGGCAGTGGTGGGTGGGTAGATCTGAGCTAAGTGTGGAATCTGGGGCGTATTCTCCCACAGGAGCCATGGGACGGGGGTGGCTGTGTTTGCAGGAGGCCCCGTGCTGGCCTGTCAGGCAAATCTGGCTTCATCCAGCTGTGTCCTTGCTCTTGGGACCTCCCAGACTAGTAGGAGACAGGGACAGAGACATACAGGTTACACTCCCACTTCCAGACAACATTCGGTCTGCTTGGAGAATCCAGGTGGGCCTTGTGGAGGAGGTGGCGTTGCGGCTGAGACTTCCTTCCCTGCTACCCTTGCCCCATTCATCTATGGGACCTTGTGTAGCACATAGGTGTGCAGGGTAGCAGTGCACACATGGGCTTCTATCCCTGTCCCACCGCTGATGGGCCGTGTGAGGCTGGGTAAGGGCCTTCACCTGTCTGTCTCTTCCTTCATTTGAGATGTAGGCGTAAAAGATGGCTCCTAGATTACTGCAGGGAGTAGGTGAGCCGGTGAATGTGATGTGCTTGAAATCGAGTGGCTCATAGTAAAGTCTCGCCGAGCATTTCATCGTTATCCTGTGCTCTGTGCCATGTGGGGTGGCACACATGGACACGCAGCCTGGTAGAAAGTTGCTGCTGCCCTGAACCTGAGCTCAGAGCCTGGGCCCCACCTCTGCCCTTGTGCCCAGGCCCAGGCCCCCACCCGCTCCCCTCCCAGGCCCCTGTCCAGCCCACCTCTCCCTGCAGGTGGGCAACCTGGGCCTCCTCTTCATGCTGCTCTTCTTCATCTATGCTGCCCTGGGTGTGGAGCTCTTTGGGAAGCTGGGTGAGTGGCTGCAGGGGCCCCTGGCGGCGTGGGAGGCCTGAGGACGACTCCAGGCTGTCACATTGGGCCATTGTCCTGGGCAGGGCCTCTGTGCAGGCGGCCTTGGCCATCCACAGCCTGTTTTGGGGTGGTGGACCCAAATAGTCTGGTCTCCCGGGAACCAGCTTGCCCTGCCCCTGGCCAGTGCCCTTTCTGAGCCAGTGCTGCCCAACAAGCAGAAAGGCTAGGGCAAGCCAGGCATGATGGGGCATCCCTGCAATCCCAGCATTCCGGGAGTCCGAGGGAGGAAGATTGCAAGTTCAAGTCCATCTGGACTTGTGAGGCTCTCTCTGAAAATAAATGAAAAGGGCTGGGATGTAGCTCAGTGTGAAGTCCCTGGATTTAATCCCCAGTACTACAAACAAAACAAAACAATACAAAAAAATGCCAAGTCAGGGTCAGAGGGCATTAGCTGAGAGCACTGGCTCCCCTGAGGGGTGGCCCCACCTCATCCTCTCTCTCAGAACTGATTCTCAGTTGAAGGGAGAGCCAGACACTCCTGTGTCTGACCCCAGCTACCACCTCCAGAGCCTCAGTTTCTCCATCTGTGGTTGGGGCACAGGTGCATGCACCTCTGAAGGGGATTCTGGGAAGGTTTTGGGAGCCTCCAGTGCAGGGTGGCCTGCAGGGGGCTCTGCCAGCCAGAGGGGCTGACCCGTCTCCCCTTTCAGTCTGCAATGATGAGAACCCGTGCGAGGGCATGAGCCGGCACGCCACCTTCGAGAACTTTGGCATGGCCTTCCTCACACTCTTCCAGGTCTCCACAGGCGACAACTGGAATGGGATCATGAAGGTACCTGTGGCAGGCTGGGGACAGGGGTGTCGGGTGGCTTCTGAGTACAGTGTGGGTGTTGACCTTGCTCATCACACTCAGGGAGCGAGCGCCCCACTGAACAAGAGGGGAGCACAGGGCCCTGCCCGGGACCCCATAGCCCAGTGCCCCAGAGCAGAGGCCAGCCAGGCAGCACTGCCCCAAGATGGTCTGGGGGCAATGCCTCTGCCTGGGGTTGGGAGTCTTTGGCTTAGATGGTGCCCAGGCTCAGCCATTTTCTGCACCCTCAGGCTTCCTGGCCTGAGGGCAGAGCTGAGGCCCTGCTTAGCGGCCCGTGGGATGGGCACAGGTGGCTTGTGGCTCTTTCCTACCCCACTGGCCTAGCTGAGGCAGGTGTGGGGCAGAGGGCGCCAGGAAAAGCTGGCGGCCCTGACACGGGGGTGGTGGCCAGCTTCCTCGGCATTGTGGGGTTGAGCCCTTCTCCAGCCTGGCTGTGGCCCTGGGGGGTAGGGCTGGCTCCAGCCAGGGTGAAGTGGTTCAGAGCCACTGGGCTGAAGCTGAGGCAGTCGGGTTCCACCACAAGCCAGACAAGACCGTGGGGCAATTGGAACCTCATGGGGCTTTGAATCCGGGCCTTGCCACCTGGGCGCGGGTCGCCACGCTGGTGGGCGGGGCTGGCGACCTCGGTGCTCAGCAGCGCCTCCCCGTGGGCACAGGACACGCTGCGGGACTGCACCCAGGACGAGCGCAGCTGCCTGAGCAGCCTGCAGTTCGTGTCGCCGCTGTACTTCGTCAGCTTCGTGCTCACCGCCCAGTTCGTGCTCATCAACGTGGTGGTGGCTGTGCTCATGAAGCACCTGGACGACAGCAACAAAGAGGCCCAGGAGGACGCGGAGATGGACGCCGAGATCGAGCTGGAGATGGCCCACGGCCTGGGCCCTAGCCCTCGGCCGCCAGTTGCCTCCCCAGGCGCTCCCGGCCGAGGACCCGGAGTGGCCGGCAGCAGCGGGGGCGACAGCGAGGGTCGCCGATGCCGGCGCTGCTACTCTCCAGCCCAGGTGGGTGGGGGCTGGAGAGGGCCTGAGGGTCTCCAGGGGTCGGGCACAGCCAGGCTGGAAGGGCAGCCAGGCTGGGGAGGCCTTGGACCCGAGCGTCTGTCTTTGGGGACCCCTCCACGCACAGCTTCAGGAAGGGGTGACCCTGTGACAAGGAGGTCGGTCCCAGGCCACGGGCACAGAACGGGAGGGCAGCTGTGCCCCACACGCCCCACAGTCCCGGGACCCAGCCGATAATGCCAGCTGTCCCCACCTCGTCCCCGTCCGCCTAGGAGACCCTGTGGCTGGACAGCGTCTCTTTAATCATCAAGGACTCCTTGGAGGGGGAGCTGACCATCATTGACAACCTGTCTGGCTCCATCTTCCATCACTATGCCTCGCCCTCGCCCGCCGGCTGCAAAAAATGTCACCATGACAGGCAGGAGGTATGGGCAGCCCGGGAGGGGCTGGCACCATGCTGCGAGGCGCCGTCCCAGCCCCAGGGTGATCCGAGGCAACACCTCTTCCTGCAGGTGCAGCTGGCGGAGACGGAGGCCTTCTCCCTGAACTCAGACAGGTCCTCGTCCATCCTCCTGGGTGATGACCTGAGTCTCGAGGACCCCCCAGCCTGTCCGCCTGGCACCAAAGACAGCAAGGTGAGTGGCCCTGGGGGAGTCCCTGCACACCACACCGCTTTCCTGCACAGAAAGCCTGAGTGCACGGCTTCTGGGGCCTGGTGGAGCTCAGGCAGGGCACAGTCTGGTTCGCCAGGTCACTCCGCACCAGGCTCAGCAAGTCATAAGGGTCTGGGTGGGTTGAGTCTGTTCGCCCCGCAGGGGGCACTGAGGTAGCTCTGGATGAGCTTGCTAGGTCACGGTCTCCTTGGGCTGTGGGGCCAGGAATGCCCAAGGAGAAAAGGCCAGGGAGAAAGGCCAGGGTCTGGTGTTTCCTGTACCAGATCTGATGCAGTGGCCTGCAAGGCAGAGTTTCCCCTTAGTTTTGGAAATAGAAACTGAGCCTTGGCAAAGGGAGGGGACCCACGGAGGGGACCCACCCAAGGCCATGTTCACAGAGACACCCATGGCCTCTCCGCCTGTCTTTGATGGCATATCCCGGTTGACGTGGCTGCTGCTCTGGGCCAGAGTCCGCACCAGCTCTGGGTTAGAGAGAGGAGCCTTGCTGTCCCCAAGGATCTCAGTCACCAAGGGAGTGGACAGGGGAGCCACTCACCTTGGGCATCCCAGAGGGCTTCCTGGGGACTGGCAGATGGAGATCATTGGCCAGGTGGGGTGGCAAGCAGTGGCGCTGTACACGAAGGTGGCTGTATCAGGCCAGCCTCTGTGCTCTGTCTCTCTTCCTGTCCCATCTGCCTCCCTTCCCCGCAGGGTGAGCCGGACCTCTCCGAGCCCATGCGGGTGGGAGACCTGGGCGAATGCTTCTTCCCCCTGCCCAAATCAGCTGTCTCCTCGGGAACAGAGAACTTCCTGTGCGAGATGGAGGCAATCCCATTCAACCCTGTCCGGTCCTGGCTGAAGCACGAAAGCAGCCAAGGTGAGAGGCACAGCTTCACACACCTCATCTCGGGTGTCTGCTTCAGAGGGAGGAAGTGGAGTTTTTTCCCCTGGTGCTTTTGCCCAGATATTTTGCATTCAGTTCTGAAAGAAAGAACCTGCTAGATATCTGGCAATAGGGCTGATATATCAATGATAAAAGATCAAGAGCCAAGTAATACAGCGACGTGAGATAATTACAAGCCAAAGCTAAAGGAACCTTCATGCTGAGCCTCCTAGGAGCTGTGGCAAAAAGGGAATCAGGTTGGCACACACAAATCTCATGGTGAAGTAGAAGGATTACTGACAGATCTCTGAGTGGATTTTCTTGTAGAGCTGAATCTGAGAAGCGTTTATCCTTATCTTCACACAAGGTGATGTTGAACAGCAGAAAGCCTGATGTTTTTGATAGCCCCTTTGTGAAACATCCCAACCTTTATTCTTTGGCACTGCCCCCAGCATCCTTTGGGGGTAGTTTGGGCTTTGGGTCTGTGGTGAGGCTGTGGGCACACGGGCAGGGACTGAGCTGTTCTGCTTGTCATTTGGGCTACAGGAGCCTGGTTTTATGACATGCGGTGGGGAGGGGGCAGAGAGAGGAGGAGCCCAGCAGCAGGAGGACCCTTAACCCACCCCACATACTCCACTGGGATGTGTGGACTGGCACCTCCAGGAGCTGGGCTGGGGTGGCTTTTCCCAGGACCTCACCCTATAGCTGACAACTGACACAGAGATTTCAGACTTCCTGAACCCAAAGTCCAACCTGAGAGCCATTCTGATTGGGCAGAATCCTTCACCCTGGAGTTGGCTCTCATTTGTATTTTCCTTAAATGACAAGGTTCTGGGACAGTGGATCCCACCGGGGACCATCCAGCTGTCCCTCTACCTGGGTACCTGCTTATGCATCCCCGGTCCTGGACACTAGGGGTCTCTGGACAGAGGCTGTGCTGCTGGTCCTGTCCCCAAGATCCAAGGCCCCTCTAGGGTCCCTGGCCTGTCCTGCCCCTCTGTTCCCAGCAGAGCAGACAGCCCCGTGTGGCACTTGAGTCCGTGCTGCCAGCCAGTGCAGGCCTGACCCGCCTGCTGCTTGGGGGCCTGAGGGCTGGTGGCTGAGCACCTGCTGCATTCCTGTGCCGGGAGCTCTCACCTGCTTTCTCTCTTCCCTGGAGGTGGGCAGCCGGCCCATTCCCAGGCCTAGACTTGGTCTCTTTGGCACCAAAAGCTATGCCTCTACCAAGGGGCTGTCCTCCCAGGAGCCACACTGGCTGCCTCACTGTTCCCCTCTTGCTCTCACACTGGGGAAACAGACTCAGAGGTGGGGCCGGTAGTCGGTTTGTTAGGGAATCCTCTCTGCCAGCCTGAAGCACCCCATGGCTCCATCTCTTCCCTCCCCTGCAGCGCCCCCGAGCCCCTTCTCCCCGGACATTTCCAGTCCACTCCTGCCCATGCCTGCTGAGTTCTTCCACCCTGCTGTGTCTGCCAGCCAGAAAGGGCAGGAGAGAGGTGTCGGCGGCGTGGGGACCCTCCCCAAGATTGCCCTGCAGGGCTCCTGGGCCTCTCTGCGCTCACCCAGCGTCAACTGCACCCTCCTCCGGCAGGTATGGGCACCTCCTAAGCTCTGGGGAGCTCCCTGCTGGGCCACCTAAGCCGGGTGAAACCTGGAGGTATGGGAGGGGAAAGGAGCAGAGTCCAGCTGTGCAGGGAGCAGTTGGGGAAAGCGAGGGGCTGCTGAGTCTGGGGGAGCACATGGCAGGACTATGTGCTTGGGCACCTGGGGGGTGCGGAGGGTGGAAAGGACCCAAATGGGGAGCCTGGTAGAAGATCCCCCGGCCCTAGCTTTCGGGAAGGGGCAAGAGATGCTGGGGAGGCTTCGCACGGTGACGTGTGCTGAAGGATGGGTGACATCTTGGGACCCCAGGGTGGGCGTGGCGGGGGCGAGGTGACTAGGAATAGGGTCAGAGGACCAGGGCTGGGACAGGAGGTCTCGGCTGCAGGTCCCTATATTGAATTGGCTGGGACCACAGCTCCCTGGAGCACGGTCCTGTGCAGAGGTCCTGCGGGCCCCAGCCGCAGTGGGGCAGTGGAGGCAGAGCTTGCCAGTGCTCTTGTGATCACTGACTCACTCGAGACGGTTGACCTCCCAGCCATGTGCCAGGGTGCAAGGGCCACAAAGTCCCTGCCTCTCGGGGCTGACGGCTGAGTGGTGAGAAGGGGTGGCCTGGTGTTGGAGGGGAAATGATAGACAGCTGCCCTGAAGGTACAGGGAGCAGGGCAGGGCTGTGTGAGAGCAGCGTGGCCCAGAAGGGTGCAGGGGAGGGGCGACGGGGAGCTCGCTGAGGGGCCATGGGGCGTGCAGGTGGGGTGAAGGAGACTCGGGAACCAGGGAGTAGGTGGGCAGTCGGGCCAGGGGCTTTTCCCGTGAGTGCGCTGGGGGCCTCTGTGAAGAGCAAGGCCAGGCTCTGTCTTGGGCTGAGAAGGATGACTCTGGCTGTCTCCTGAGGGTTGGCGGGGTGGGGACCCTGTGGGAGCCTCGGGGGGACTGACTCCCACAGAGCTCCAACAGCAGAAGGTTGCCACGGGATCCTGGGTGTGCTCTGAGAGGTTTCCTCTGGGACTGGAGGAACTGGATGCCCAAGCCGGGAAAGGTGGCACCCCCGTCACTGGGGTGGATGGGGGAGACAGGTGGCCCCATCCCCCTCCTGCCTCCCTGCAGGCCACCGTGAGTGACACATCCCTGGATGCCAGTCCCAGCAGCTCAGCAGGCAGCCTGCAGACGACACTGGAGGACAGCCTGACCCTGAGCGACAGTCCCCGGTGTGCCCTGGGGCCACCGGCACCTGTACCAGGGCCCCGGGCTGGTCTGTCACCAGCCACCCGCCGCCGCCTCAGCCTGCGGGGC